CATGAGGGAAACAATGACTGCCAGACATCTGGCAGTGGATGAGAGCTGGATCCTGCTGGATATCTTTCACTCAGACTGTCTGTGTAACTTCCCCTTAAACGCCCTCTGGGGCAAAAACACAAACAGTTAACCTTAAAGGGAGACTACTGGGTTTTTCAGAGGCTGGAATTAATAGCTAAATAAATAAATAAATAGTCATTGTAACACGGGGATACAACGAAACTGAACCAAAGTGAGCGGTGGGCAGCTTTAAGCGCCCAGGGAGATAGAGGGACAGATAGACACATAGATATAAAGGAAACATGAATCAGTCCATCTATGACACGTTGTAATGGGGTGATGGAGGCAGGAAGAGGCAGACTCAGTATGACAGTATGATTTATCCACATCCTTTTAGGGTTAAACAGTTGGATGGAAAAGGAATGGATTTCCTCAGCCTGTCTGTTGAGCATGAGATATCTTGTCATGGAACAAGCTCCTCAGTTTAATCAGTGGGTGATGGTCATTGTTCATAAAAGTCAGCGTTTTACTCATATTGCTGACCTGATATTTTTTCCTCCAGGTTTTTTTAGTGTCTCCAGTGTAAAGTCAACTAGGACAGAGCAGCCTTTCTGATTCACCCTGTCCTGATGTCAATGACTCAGAACACCAGTGTAGAAGAGAACACTGGGAATCATAGACTGGTAGAACTGGTAGCAAGATGTCCAGCCATATATGGACATACATTTGTAGTTAAAAAATAAGCCAATAAATATGTTGCCATATAAAAATCTCCACAATTTTAAAGAGCACATTAGAAAGCTTTAAGAAAAGGATATATCTGATTTGAATTTTGTATTTTCTCAGCATGGCCCATGTGTCCCCCACTGTACATTTAATTCTATTAAATCTTGGTGCAGTAGTTTATCTGGGAATGCAAAGTATGTATGGCACTCTCTCTCTTCTCACAGAAAAACATCCAGCATGGCTTACTATGTTTTAAGAAAGTCCTGCACAACACAGAATTCAGCTGTCCTCACAGATGGCATCTGGTGACAGACATATGGCCGTTATCAATTGTGGAAGGTGAGGGAGTCAAAAGACCTTGTTCCTTGATGACCGGCTTCACTAAACAGAAAAACACCAAGAGGTGTTCCAAGGATCCCTTTAAATGCCATCACTTTCACCGTTGCTTTCACAGCTGGTATGTGGACAAGAAATCCCACGTGAGCTACTTAGAGTTGTGAACTCATGGATTTTATACGCTTTTCTACAGCAGACAACATAGAGGAAAGCCACTGTGTGGATACAGCATGTGCACATCCTAGCATGTTTGAATTGCAAAGCAAAATTAATGTGAACTGCTGCAAGTGATCAGTAGTTCTGCTGCCATGGCGTGTTGCTGAAGAGCCATTTAATGCTAATAGTTAATGTTTTCTTTATAGATACATATGTTTTTTATTTCTTATTAGGCAAATACATAGATACATACATACATACATATATATAAATATATATGTATGTACAGTATATATATGAATGTGTATGTTGAATGGTGGCCTAGTAGTTAAGAAGTAGACTTTTGTCCTGGAGGTTGCAGGGTTGAATCCAGCAGTCTGAAAGACTAAGGTGCACCGAGCATAGCATTGTCCCCACACAGTACTATGCCCCCCAGACGCTCAGACGCTAAATAATTAACTTATAAATAAATAACTTATAATAAAAGTCATTGAAGGTTATTATTATGCTCACTTGTCTATTATATTATTATATATTATTATTATGATTATTAATTAGGTTAACATGGAATTTTAAATGGTGACAGAAGCGGGTCAGTAACTGTCCCCACAACAAAGAGGATGTTAGGTTCGTCGTCTTCTTTCATATAGTTATCTGCTGCCTGAGGAAGAACCAACATGAATCTAACACAAAACACGAAGCAAACAAAAGGCGTCAATCACGTGTTCACAAGAGACGCATTAATTTATAAACACACACACACACACACACACACATATATATATATATATTTATATATACATATATATGTATACATACACCCATGCATGCACATAGGCGTGCGCGTGCAGTTCCATAGTGCAGCACTTAGCATGCCTGCCTTTTTCTTTCTTAACAACAAAAGGACCAATTTGGGAGCAAAGAGACCCTCCGTGTGTGGCCCCCACAGACGTGTGGATTTTGGAGTAATAACCACTGTGAACAAGAGTCCGCGGACTTTCGGGCACAATGTGACACAAGAAACAGTCTGAGGCATGGCATACCGCGGCGGCGCAGCTCACCGTGTCGAGCGACTTTCCTTCTTCTTTTTCTTGTTTTTCTTCAGAGCTGTATGGACAAGTACCATCCAAATCCGCTATTCTCATTCTCTTCTTTCGTATCTCCGACTTTGTTACTGCCCAGCCTGCTGCTGATGCGGCTGCTTGTCAGTCGGAACAATCCAGCAGTAGATGTTCACCCATCTCCACATGTCTGAAAACTGAGCCCATATACATACACACACAACCCCAGTGACAGCCGGAGGAGCGCGCGCCCGAATAACGACAACAACTGGAGCGCGCCTCAATCACGAAGCTTCAGAATTCACCAGCAGGTAAATAAAGATAAACCTTTAACTTTTGTGGTACATTAAAAGTGTACGGTTTAAGCGACGCCATTAGCTTCGTAACTGGTTATAACCTAACTGGTTAAAAATTTACTTAAACACAAAAACAGGCTTTTCAGTTTTTATCTCTTCAACACAAGTTGTAATTAAACAGTTATAGCAACGGATAGTAAAATCAGGTTTGTGGGAGCTTAATGTAATCAAGCTAGCTAGACATTTTGCAGTGTTAATAGCAAATAGTATTAAATGTGAACGATTGAAAGCCAATTGCCCTGACAAAGGTATGGGTTTTTGCGCCCTCCTGTGGATAATTTCTGAAATTAAAGACAAGAACGGATGTTTTTGCCTGAATAGTATCAACTATTTAAAGCTTTTCGTCATCGATTGTCGGCTAAAAATAATGATACCGCTGGTGTCATTGTTGTTCTTTGCAACTCGATGTATACAGTTAAGTATATTTATCAAAAACGGTGTTACTTTAAGTGCTTTAAGACGACATAAGTGATTCCCAACGGTAGAGGCAGTGGTTCTCGAACTTTCCTGGGCCTATGCTATTTAGCTGGGACCAGTATAGAAAGGAGATATTTTTTAAAACAATTCTTAATTGAATCATTATTTAGCAGTCAAAGCCACCCTGTACAATAACATAGAACTGCAATAGACAAGTGAGCATATTTAACACTGGTATTTATTGACATGGTAAAAGCCTGTCTAATTGATAAATACCACTGGGAATCAGATTTCCCACCACGTACCACTAGAGGGAGGCCAAATTCCACCAGACTAGCAAGAGGAAAATCCAATCAAAAAAGAATCGTCAATAAAATAAAAAGTAAAAGCCCTTCCTCTTAGTTAACACTAGGTTAAAGTAAAACAATATACAAATAGGCTACTTATATATAGCCTCAGAATGGGAAGGAAGTACTGTCTTAAAGCCTGTTAAAAATGTATTCTTTATTTTCTTTTCAGAGCTGGGGTGTGGCATAGACAGCATAGGCAAATATAGGTTTTTATTTGTTCTTTTTGTTTATTTGGGTCAAATAGTTTCTAAAAATAAAAGGTCAAAGAGAAAGCTCTTTAGCTTCTTGGAGAGAAAGCTCTTTAGCTTCTTGTGTGAGCGAACGTAAATTAGCAATGGAATTTATAGCGATGCAGGGGGATGAATGTTAGAATCTAAGGCGCCAAATTATTCAGGACTTAGGTCTGAGTTTTGTCCAAAGGCCTGTATAAATTTACTCATACGTCTTTAAACCAGTTCAACCAGTTCATACGCTGTCCTTTTACAACCTGCACTTAACCACCACCACAACGGGGCGCTCTCCTTCTTCTAGGACCAGAGCACAGAGCGGTGACGCAGGGAAAGGGGGCAGGCACTGTGGCAGTGTGTATACAAGTCTGTGCTCTCATTCATGCTCATTGTAGAGGCGTCTGCATCGACAGTCCGTGTCAAAACACCACCAATTGCACCTCATCTCATATAAGGAAGGGCCGGTGAGTACACCTTATCCGTGTATATGTGCAGGCCTGTCTGTTTTTCTTCCATTACTGTATAGTATTTGAAATCATTCGCACAAACATGGCAGCATGAGACGAAAAGAAAAGACGCCTCCAAGTTGAGGGAAACCAATTGAAAGCAGTCTGTTGCGAATATGTCGATGCTCTGCGTTTCCTTGTAGGCGCAATGCACCGAGCTGTTCGCGGATTGACATACTTTACGATGACAATTACGCTCGATAGGCTCGTAGCAGCGAGAAATCATGTGCCCTGTTAAATCGAGAAATGTAAACTGGAAGTTGTTTTTTTAGGCTAGGGTGTGTGCATAAAAGATGCTATTTTTATACCTAGAGCCCTACTGTTATTTTATTGTACACACTGATAGTCGCTAATCTCCATTGGCTCCTTACAACTTAAAACATAATACCCCAAGATGTCACCTATCCTATCAAAATGAACATATAACAATACATGTGACCAAAATTACTTAAACCGTAATATTTACCGTTTTATACGCTACATTTGTCTTTCTCATGGCTACCTTAAAGTAGAGGAGAGAAAAGTCCAAGTAGAGGTCATTCACTGCCAGTCGCCATAATACATCTAACGTAAAACACGGGATTTTCCATTGATACTGCCCTAAAATGTGTCGACACAGGACACTGGATAGTTCTAAAGTGCTGAATCATAGCAGTAAAACAGAAATATACCTATGAATGTCAATGAAGGTCAGGGAAAGATGACTATCACAATGTCCTTATTGCACAGGCGTCACCAAGGTGCTTGTAAACACATTGCATTTGTTTTTATGTAGTTCTGACATATACTGCCACGATCATTACATTATAGTGTCGGTACTCTGATTCTGGTGTCTGCACACTACTGACCTAATTTCACCCTGACCACGTGGGCAGGAAAATTGATACAGCTTCAGACGAATACAATTAGTCTTTCCAGCCGTGTTTGTTGGAAGATATGTATTTATAATGTGTTACTGTGGTTATAGGTGTAAGGTGTTTTTATCAGGTGGCTGATGTGGCGTTTGGTTCACGGTGCAGACGTACGACGACATACAACGATGTGTGTGGGAGAGAGAAGGCTGTGTTGTTATATTACAAATATCTGTGTTTTGCACTGGCTTTGTACGATAAAACACGCTCAGGTGCGGTTAGAAAATGGTTTTATTCGGTCCCGAAGATATTTTAATGCTGTCAGACGAGGATTTCGGTGTATTATGCCCTCAGTCACCAGTTTCTAAGCGGCGCAGTGCTGCGACCTTTCCCCTAGTTTTTCAGCACTGGCTGAGATCATGTGATGTTGTAGAGAAGCGGGGGGAGGGGAGGGCTACTCCAGCACTTAGCCGTGGATGGATGCTGCTCCATCCGTTAACAGTGCAGTACAACTAGAAAAGAGGTGTCATGCCTGGAGGGGCTCCATTATTTTATGGTGCATTTCAGGATGAAATTTATTTTAAGAGTGGAAATCATTGCATCGACGAACCAGAGATATGCCAACATAACATGAGGAACATATGGTTACATACATCAAAATAAACCACCACCATATGATTAAAATCTTAAAAACCCAAGTATAAATATTCATAATTCCGAGTTATTACCACAGTCTAGGGCGATACCAATTACAATTTTTAAATCTTGAGGGTATGGTGGTGGATTAATCATGAGCAATATTTAACCACGATTAATCTAGATAAACGAATACGACTAATATGACGGAAAAAAATATTTCTCTATATTGTTAAAACAAGTTTCTTGTTTACATTGTGACTAATCCAAATGATGGAATAGTCCAGTAATATGCAAAAATATAACCCAACATGTATGAGTTAATGTATTTCTTTGTCTTTGCTGTGCATCTGTTTGAAAAGAGAGATAGCATCAGATTACACAGAACAAAATAAATGACAGATAACAGAAGTATTTACAATGACAAATTGTTTTATGACACTGTTATTTGTTCACCTAGGGTGAGTAATCATTTTTGCTCATAAAGTAAAAAAATAATAATAAATGAACAGTACCTGCACCAAAAAGGTGATCCACTGGAAAGTTTGGTTGTGAAACTAGAGAAACATTGACATTTTACATTGTCATTGCAGTTATTTTGGGTGTTTTCATTTCGTGTAAATGATAAGTTATTAAAGTTATGTTATACACTTATTTAACAGGTCACTGTTGACTCACTCAGATCAAAACTTTCTAGTCACTTTAGCCTCTTTCATTGACAACATGCAGTGACTTTTTCAATCAAAAACTATAAAATAACTCAAAACTATTAACCCTTGACTACTTTTTTTTAAGGTTATTATCCTTGTCATTATCCTTCTTGAATAATTTAACAGAGACAAAATTGTATTTGAATAACACCTTTGTAGAAAAAGTGTGTACTGAAAACATATTTTCTGTTTATGGCTCAAATTGAAGAACTCACAGACAATTTAATAAATTTTGTACACACCAACGTATTTTGACACTACAAGAATCATAGATGATTTGCATTCATATTGAAACAGAAAACCTTCCTCATATGCGGTTTCATTTCTCATTCTGCATCTTGATTCTAAAAAAACAAGACAAAAAAGTAATGCTTTTAAGGATTGATCACTGATCACTTATGCTACCACCAAATATATGCACCTTATTAGGTTAGCACGTTGGTGGAGCATCTGTGTTTAAAAACAGTTGCTCCACCTGCCTAACCAGTTTAGAAATAGGTAACAGGTCATCTCCTGGTGCGCCTCTACCGTTGTTATCTTACATTAACTAGTTTGGTTGATTTGTCTGATCACTGCCATTTCCTTATTATTTTGTCTTTCTCTTCCACTTCCTGTTAGCTGGCTGCCTCTTTTAACAGTCCCTTACTGCTACATACACTTTGTAAATATGTAAATATAGTAAGTTTCAGACAGAAGTACCTGGTTATACAAGGTAAAAAGGAATCAAAGGCTTTAAAAGCTAGGTTTTCTTTGTTGTCTGTTTTTTTCAGTGTGCATTTATAGCTGTAATATGGCATATTTAACAATTGTTCACAGGTTAGTAGTCATTACACCCACAATGCAGTGTATTGGTGCCTCAGAATTGAGCCTGTCTTATTATAAAATATGCATCTTAATGTGATATAAGTCAAAATTAAATACTCCGGACCAGACCTTAAGACAACATAGATGTTTGTTTTGCCATACCTACTTTACAGAGTAATCATTCAAAGCAGTTATATCCATTGATGTAGATACAAATTTGTACTAAATATAGCATGAAGTCTAGCAGTCTAAGCCTAGTCTAGTGTATGTATGTATGTATGTGTATATATATATATATATATATATATATATATATAATACAGTATTTTGTATATACAGTATTTTATAATATACAGTATTTTGTGCAAATATATGTACTTTAATGCAAATATACAGTACACATCAGAGCATGATAACAGAACTATTTAACATAAACTTAAAAAACAGTCAAATGTACAGATTATAATTATTGTTATAAAGTGAATAAATTAAAATGCAAAATTCTTTGTCGTTTCATTTTTTTAAAATAATTTTTTGTCCATCAAATTGAAATAGACTTGTCTTCATACCAACTTAAACTTTTCTTTTCATCTCCAGCCCTGTACTGTAGTTGTCACCATGGCAGAAGCTCACCAGGCGGTGGCCTTTCAGTTCACTGTTGGTCCAGATGGAATTGACCTACATCTGTGCCACGAGGCTCTACGCCAAGTCTACCTCTCTGGTCTGCACTCCTGGAAGAAAAGGTTCATTCGCTTCAAGGTAGGAATTTGTTCACATGAACAAAGTTCACAGAACCATGTAGTGTTAATATTTACCAATTGCTCTTGTGGTTTTTTTTAAGTGAATTTTTTAGCCAGTAAAACGTTTTATCAGTCTTGGTTATTTATTTACTAATTGCTATTCTTCTCTAAATATCCCTTCTTGATGACATTTTCTGTCACATTGATAGTGACTATAACCTTCTTGTCAGTTCTTTTTGTCTTCTCAGCTTTAGGCCATATGATTGTTTAACTACATATCCCCGCAGATATTCAAAACTTGGGTCTCAAGGATAAATTTGTGGATTATGTAAATAGTTATGTAAATTATGTAAATAATGTCAGTAATGGTAGTTAGGTTCGAGCTTAGTAAAAAAGGGTAAACAGAGGTCCTCTAATTCTATTAATATTAGAACAATAAAAAGATAATTAGGGTGTTACCATGTTAATGTGCCTTAGAGAATAATGTCTCACTGTAACTTGTGATTTTGTTTACTAATCAACAGAATGGGGTGATGACTGGTGTGTACCCTGGCAGCCCTTCAGGCTTCATAGTAGTGGTTACATCTTACATGTCCTACAATAAATACAAACAGTTGGATCCCTCCCTGGGGTTGATAGCAAAGCTGGGCCAACATGTACCGATCAGGTAAGGCTACCGACATCTTGACATGTTGACTTGAAACAAAATGGTGTATGTCGTGGACCAGTTGATCCTCAGAAAGAATTTAAATGACCAACGAAGACCAAAATCAATACAGACTTGTTTTCTTATCTTGACATATCTTGTGAGAAGCCTATAATCTGTAGTATGTATAGTGAAGTCTTCAATACAAACTGACAGAAATTATAGATTTTTTTTACAATTTTAGAAATGCAAAGATTTTTCCTTCACAACATACTACTACTGATCCTAACATTTGTTGACACTATGTCCATTGACCATAGTCCACTGCCCTCCCAACAGTTCTGGGGATTTTCCCTTAGAAGACGGGATTGCTCAGTTCAGGCAGTGTTGTAAAGTCAAACATTTTCAGGAGTGGTTAAAAAGATAAATAGATTCAGTGTTTCCCTTGTTGCTTGTACAACATAGCCTAAGGTGTCTGTATACATCCTGTGTGTATATAGTTGCATAAAATAATAATGGTTTTGTGTAGGTTTGTTTGTATGTGTGTGTGAATGTTACCATGTCAAGATAAGGATTTCTTTTGCTTATAATGAAGCTTAATTTGACTCTGTTTTTCCTAGTGTGAATGTAAATCATCATATTATTTTATTATACTCCATAACCCTTATTAATCATTACACTTTATTTTAAACCTTCTTCTGCACAGACTTTACTAAGTTGGAGAATATATGACTCCTTAAAAATCAACACCCAAGTTATTTTAAATGGTCACAGAGAGTTAAGGTCCAGTGAACATTGCAAAGGTTTCTTCCTTCTGTCTGTATTTCCTTGTTTTTTTTTATTTCTGTTTGACCTTGATGTCCTGTTGGTTTAAAAAATGATTTATCAGTGTAAAACAGACCCAATGGGGGCAGTAATACAACTCACAGGTTTCAGATCTGTCACTATACCAGGGAAAGGAAGTCACCTGCCGAATGCTGGCAAACACAATACTGTATTTCTCATGAATTTCCCTGGTGTGGCCATAACAATGTCTAATCTTATCTACACCTTCATATCAGTCATATACTGAGTTCTGAGCACTTTCAAGAATAGATATACCAACAGAGTTAGTTTGCCACTGCTGTTTTGCCCTCGGCAGAGTTTTTGCCCGCTATTTTACCCTTCATACCCTTTACCCTCCTTCCTTGTTTCCACAGCCGCTATATGTCCACAGACACGCAGAAGATTGTTGGCGGTGTTCTTGTTGGCACGGGTCTGTGGGTAACGATAATCATTATTATGAGGAATGTCCTTAAGTGCCTGCTGTCCTGGCATGGATGGATGCATGCCCGCCATGGCTCATTGCCCTTGTCTACCCGTCTGTGGATGGTGAGCTCATGAATGGTTTCTTCTGTTTTTGGGCACTTTGTGGTGAATGATTTAGCAACAGTTGTCTCTACACACTTGTATAAATGCACTACACAACTACAATATTAATGCGGAAGCATTCGGTCATCCTCCTAGAAACTGTTGGCATTTTTGTGTGATCCACTGGTGACATATGTGAACTTTGACTTTCTAGGTTGCCCTGTGAAAAACACAAACTTTAAATAAACTTTGCTCTTTTCCTTGTTCTTTGTCTTTTTCTCTTGTCCAGCTATTGGTCAAAGTGTTTTCTGGCAGGAAACCAATGCTTTACAGTTTCCAGAGCTCTCTGCCACGGCTACCTGTTCCTTCTGTCAAGGACACCTGCAGTAGGGTAATTCACCGATGTTATTTCCTTATTCTCTTTTTGAAGCACTGCTGTGCAGATATCAGAACATCACTGATAGAGATAAATAACTTATTACTTATTACTAAAGAGGTTGGGAACACTAATTTGTAACGGTTGTGTGATGTTTGAGCAGTGACGTTTTCGTAACGTCTGTCTAGATTCCACTCTCCAAGCTATTGCAAATGTATAGGTTCTGAATATAATTCCAAAGTGTTTTTTCCTGTTGTTCAAAAAAAAAAAGTCATAATTGGTTGCAGCTTGACTGTGTGCACCACAGCAAACAGTAGCCACTAAGCAAGTGGCCTGTAATTGTTATAATAAATAGTAACTGACTCTTCCATTTGTGTTATTAATGTTCACTCAAAAATACTCAGTCTCCACCAGCTCTTCCAGGAGTTTTTATCAGACCAGGTCATAATCTATAATCTAGCTTGTAGCGGCTAAACATGTGAATGGTAGGTGCTTTCTGTTAGCATTTTGCACAACAGACTGGTTTCATTTACAGCAATGACAGTGGACCAGTCATCAAGGTGTGGCAGAAAATGCTGAAAAAGGACAATAGAACCATAATTGTGGGGAAAAAAATATGCATCTCATTAAAGGTTATTATTTTAGAAGCCACATAAGCAGAGCAGGTTTGGCAGGTGATAATCATCTCTACAAAGACTTTTAATACTAGTCAGTGGACTCCCCACTTGTAATACAACTGTGAATAGCCTTTTGTAATACAAAAAACAGATAATTTACAAAAACATGCTTTTTATAAATAATAATATAAACACTTTTTTTGTGGACTGGTACCAAATAACCTCCAGCCATAAAGGGAAAAAGTAATGTGAATTATTGAAATATCTGTCACTGAAAAGGTCTTTTAGACTTTGAAATGTTTGAATGAAAGTTTTTCCTCTGTGTGTACAGTACCTTGACTCTGTGCAACCACTGATGGATGCCGAGAAGTACGAACGAATGAAGGCCCTGACTAAAGACTTTGAGGAGAACCTGGGACCCAGACTACAGTGGTACCTCAAACTGAAATCATGGTGGAGCTCCAACTATGTAAAGTCAAAAAAAAATTCCAAAACAAGAATTTCTGCCAAACTGAGCATCAGTCTGACAACTCATTATTGTTTTTCTTTATTTTCTGTTCCACAGGTTAGTGACTGGTGGGAAGAGTATGTTTACCTCAGAGGCCGTGGGCCCATCATGGTTAACAGCAACTATTACGCCATGGTAAGACAGGAGTGTACCTGAGCAGAAGCTTGACATTTACTAAAAATTTAATAAATAAGATTTTGTAGTTTTTTAATAATTTGGTGTTTTATCATATTTATATATTTATTAGTGTAATAATACCACAAAATTATAAAACAAATATAAAAAAATATTTATTTTTATATCCCAAGTACTGTATTTTACAAATATTTCTATTTAATAGGACTGAACTCCTCTCAAAGTTCTTTCAGTTTTAGGTAAAGAAAAAAAATCAAATCTTCCTTTCGTAAGTGAACGTGTGGCTTTGTTATCATAGTTCAGTTTTTTACAAGTTTTAAGTTTAAGTGCAGCGCCCTCCTTTTGTAAATTGGACTTTTCCCCCTGCCTCCTATTTTAGGGATCTGTGGGGTGAATTGTGTCTTACTAGGTGTCAATGTTTTTAACCAATATATTGGTAAAATGAATAAATTAGTGTATTTAATTTATAGTTTTGCAGCTCATATATTAAAATAGAGATGATGCTGATTTCTGAGGGCCAAGGTGAACACATTTCTAATGGTTAAAAACAAATGTATTATTCTTCTGTACTGTTCTTATTTTGTACATATTCTTTGGTAGCTTGTTGAGTCACATTCTAACATTATTATTTTGTTAATTTCTTTGATCTTTATTTCCGCAGGATTATCTGTATGTGTTCCCCACCTCCATCCAGGCAGCGAGGGCAGGTAATGCCATCCATGCCATCATGCTGTACAGGAGGAAACTGGACAGAGCCCAAATCAAGCCTGTGAGTATTTTATGGTCTGCTAATTTAAGAGAATGTTTGAGAAACCTGGTTAATGAGTGAAACAAAATAGTGGTAATATGAAATGACCCATCTGTAAATATTTAATTTGTTTATAATTTAATTAACAGTTGTTATCAGTGTGTGTCTTTCATGTGTGCTAAAATGGCTGCTTATCTTTCGCAATTTGTCTTTTGAAAAGCCACTGTTATCTACAGTCCGCGCTGTCATGATGTAGTCTGTTGATGTTGTCCACAGCTGAAAGTTCAGGAGAGCACACAGGCTTGAAGCATAGTTCACGTTATATCTCCAGCCCAACTATCTGCAGGTTCAATGTGTTCTTCTCCTGTCTGCTTTGCCACGTTGTGCTATGTTTGAATTAGCAAAGTTGTCCAGTTGGAAGGTGGCCGATGCCAGACTGACACCAGTCTCTCTTCCATTGTGCTGTAAAGTTAACAAGAACCGACTATGACTCAAGCCTCCACAGTCAGTTAAAGATAAGAGCAGTGTAAAGGCTGCTGAAACCCAAACAGGAACACAGCTGCTGTGTCATAGAGTGAAAAGAATAAGGAAAAGGAAGAAATGTAACTTACAAAGAGGTTGCAGGGTTCACAGACAGCACTGAGGCCATAAAACCTCCAGCGGTCCACCATTAAAGTTAAATGAATCCTTGTTGCAACTTCCATTAATGTTTAACACATTTGTGTTGTTTTTAAACGCTTAACACAATATTTTCTCATGTGACTTTTGTTCACTGATTTAATTAACCGACTTACTTTGTTAACCTGTTAACCTAATGTACAAATTTTTATATTGCTGATTAATGTGGCCCAGTTTCTCCACTCGGCCGTCCATGTGGGTTTTTAATTTTCTAGGCAACAACCCTCTTTTTTTTCCTTACCAATAGGAAGTTATGAGGGGCAAAATAACGATGACGTTGATGCAATGCAATCAACTAGTTAAAATGTGACGACAGCCAATCAGATCAGCATCTAAACACAGATTCAATCAATCACAGTAAATGATTGAATCCATGTGTAAGTAAATAATAATAATAGTGTATAATTTACTGTAAGTTAATATTAATACTGGTACTACTAGTAGTAGCAATAATAATAATAGCAATAAAAACATGTTCAATAAATGGCAATAAATCCAAATTACATTTAGACAAAATTTATGTTGATATTTCATCAAACTAAAGCTACACAACAATTCAACTGACTTAATAGGGACTAAGTTGCAGTGAAGTCAAAGAGACTACGACAAGAACTAATTCAAAAGTACTCCTAATGCCTAATGCTAACTGCCAGCAGAGCTTTTTGTGTTTTTTTTCAAGTGCTAACACAATATGTTTGCTCTTTATGGTATTCAACACAACAGATTAAGTAAATAATGTAAAATTTTGGAAACACAAAGAAGCTCTATTTACTGATAATAAAGCAGCTATAGCCACAAAGCAGCAGTGTTCCCATTTAACTATCTTGCGAAGCCCATTTTAATTTGATTTGTATGTTAATACATTTAAAACCAATGCCTTATTTGATATGTCATCCCAGTGCAGCCAAACACTGCAAGATTTATTAACATTTATTTACAAAAGAACTGGACTGTTGTAGAGTCCGAACTGTTGATAATAGATTGGTCACACCAACATCTCAGCATTTGTAATCCTCTGGTCGACATAAAGAAAGGTTCGTTGGTAGATCATTATTTCTTAATTAGAAATACGAATATTGGTAGATCATTATTTCTTAATTAGAAAGGGGGATCTTAGGTTAATTTTATTAGGAACCAGATAAAAATCAATTCCTACTAGTACATAGTTTGTACATATGCATTTCACTGAGAGGAGTATTTGGCATTCAGTTTTTTAAACAACATGCAGCAATTGCAAAGACTGGTCAGATGACAGCAAGCTGGGCCATGAATAACGTACCCAGAGATTGGTCAACTCTAAAAGCAGTAAAGTGAAGTGAAGTACCTGACACTGACAGTACTGTGATAGATTACTGCTCCTCTTGTCAGTCTTTCTGTTTTACCAGTCTGCTCGATGCTTAACAGCAAATGCTTTAGCTTTCTGCAAAATACAGAAGTGTGTACATGCACCCTATTTATTAACACTTGACAGAAACCAATGCATGAGCTTGTTCTGTTTCACACTCACATCCGGTTGTCTCTGTTACTGTTTTGTTCCAATTGCTGTGTCGGACACTGCGTTAGATATACTTGCTGGCGAACAAGGTTCCACTGTGCTCAGCTCAGTGGGAGCGGATGTTTAACACCTCCCGTGTCCCTGGGTTGGAGACAGGTAAGAGGAGGGCAACATCTTTGATGACCCTAGCCCTGCCATGACAACATTCACTAAAACCCCTAACTCCTGGCTCTTTATCAGCAGCACAGCCCTGACAAACACACTTTTTGTAGATGTAGAATTTCTAATTGAAGCATTTTTTTACCTAAAGCTCCTGAGAGCTAGTTCACATCCTGAAGACACATCAGGATTTTGCTTCTGATATTGAGCTGGCAGCACAGTGGTTTCTGGACCCTGATCATTTCTCCACTCCTAGCAGCTACCTGCAGTCTGCTCTGCTTCTAAGCCCAAGCCTCATTACTGCTGCACCTCTGCATTTGTGCTCCTGTCTCTGTAATACGTGTGTGTGTGTGTGTGTAACACGTGTGTGTCCTGCCACTACCACTCATTTGGGATCGTAGTGAATTAGTTTGTCATCTTTGTGTTTGACTCTCCCCTTTTGCTTTTCAGCTCATGCTCCTTCACACTATTCCCATGTGCTCAGCCCAGTATGAGCGTATGTTCAACACCAGTCGTGTCCCAGGTGTAGACACAGGTAGAGTTTTGTAGCAATGCAGACTCCTTCACACTGCTACTTTCAGATCTATGGCTGGGACGAAACGTTCCACAGTTTTGTCATTATTTCTGTGAACTAATAATGCATGCATGCTGCTCTGTTCACAAATATAAGACATTGATTTGCATGTGATTGAACCTAAGTGTTGAAGTGAAGTTTATCTAATGACATAAATAAGAATGTTGTTAGAAATCATGGCTGTAAGATAAGTTGAAGGATTGTTTATAAATGAGTGAAAAAGGAGTTATTCTATAAGGACAGGGATTACATAAACATCTATAATGTAAGAATTAAAAGCTGTAACTGTAAATGGTGAATTTTGCAGTTGGTTAACAAAGCAAGTGGGTCATGTATTATTAGGCAAGACATTTATTATAAATACCTTATTTGGGAACCTAATTCCCAGGTATTTATCAGTTTCTGACGTGGTATTGATTTAATATTGAATAATCATATTTATTTGACATTACCTCATACAGAGCTTATTACAAACACTTGTTTTAAAGGGATTAAAAAGTAATACTAAAGATGACATGATAAAGCTCTATAGAACACAATTGCACTAATTCCCATTAGATTACACTACATTCTATAGTCTGATGAACTCAGAATCACAAAAGATCCATATTGTGTTTTTGCTGCCAAACAGCAACAAGTCCAAATTGACTGTAAAGTAGAACCTTGAATCCCTAAAAAAAAACAGTTTCTGTGTTTGGTTGGTGTTAAGGAGTTTGTAATTTATACATTTGTGGAGCACTAGTGGAAAAGCATCTTTTTTCCATTAGAAAAAAGATGATTTCCATTAGAGGAAGTACAGTGGTCTTTATATTTACGTTGATATGAGGAGGTCACTTGTTGCTTGTCTCAATTTCCTCTCTTTTTTTTGTTGTTGCTTGTTTTAGGGTAAATACTTGTTTGAACATTACTCAGCGTAAAAGCCATTTATTTATGGCTAAACATTCTTAATCGGTTCTGATTGGTTGTACCGGGTTTTGTTCAAACAAATATTGCCTGACACATCAGATTCCAAACCAGTTCTCATTCCTTTAACTGCTTTTCCCTCTCATCTCACCGCCTGCACTTCCCATTTTAAACTGCTCTAATTTTGTACTAAGTTGTGACCCAGTCATTTTAAAGTTGATTTAATGTTTACCCCTAAATCATAAGCAGTGTTACATCATTACATCATCACAGACAGTTTTGCTACACACTAACACATAGTTGACATTTTCTACTCTACTGTATAGTGTGCATCATCACACTGCCAAGACTAAATGCATGATGCTAACGTAAATGCATTCACATGGTTTTATTTGAAATTATAAGCTGCACACAACACAGAGACACAAACCCAAACCTAGTAGCTGAAAACACTCATGTCATGATTCTAGTGTTTTCTCACATCTGACTGTTGTTCCTCCTGTCTCAGACACCATTCAGCATGTGAATGACAGCAAACACATAGCTGTGTACCACAAGGGACGTTTCTTTAAGGTGTGGATGTTTTACGACGGACGGCTCCTGTTGCCCCGAGAGATAGAGCAGCAGATGGAGAGAATCCTGGCAGACAAATCACACCCTCAGCCAGGAGAGGAGAGTCTGGCTGCACTGACTGCAGGCGACAGGTGGGTGGAGCTACAGCCGTTTGAAATGACTAATTACTTTGTAGACAAAACTTGTGTGCAGTGCAAAAAAACATACAAAATACAGTTTTCCCCCAAAATATATATTGGTTAACCATCATTAAATATTTTAACACAATATTTGACGCACAGTAGCTTCCAACATTCACGTTAAAACATTCAGCTAAACACAGGACACAGCACTCCCAACACAGCTCTCACATACATATACTGTATATACATGCACATATAGCGAAATATTTAGAGATTTCTTTTTCAACTCCAGGACTCCGTGGGCTAAGGCCCGGGAAGCCTTCTTCAGCCGTGGTAAGAACAAGCAGTCTCTGGATATCATTGAAAAGGCAGCCTTTTTTGTAACCCTCGATGACACCGAGCAACGCTTAGAGCCAGACAATCCTGTGACATCTCTGGACAAATATGCTAAATCTCTCCTTCACGGAAAATGCTACGACAGGTATGACAGATGAGCTCTCTTTGTCCACATGTGGCAAATTTCTGTTTTTAAATATTCATAAGATCTATTTTTTTTTCTTTCCAAACAGGTGGTTTGATAAATCCATGAACCTGATAGTGTTCAAGAACGGCACCATGGGTCTGAATGCAGAGCACTCATGGGCTGACGCTCCAATCGTTGGTCATCTGTGGGAGGTTAGTCAGTGTCCCATAGTTAAAATAAGTTTTATGTTTTATATGTTTATAATGTAAGTATATATACATATCTGTGTGTGTGTGACTTGTATTGTCTGTCTATCTTAGGGAGGAAGTATCCCATGTTTAACTGGAATACTATTCTGTTTGTTAGCATTGAGCATGTAGCTCCCCATTTGTTAAAGACGGGATAAACAAAAAAATACTAAGGGAGGACGAAAAGGATTTTTCTGTTTTCATGAAAAAAAAAATTCTTAAAATAAAGTAAATTGCATCTTGTGCATATATGACCTAATTATTAACTGGCAACTTATTTACCAGCAAACGGAAACTTTATATGGTCACAAATGAAATTTTAAAAAACCCAGATTAAAAAACGTCTTTTTCCCTTAAGTTATTTATTTATTTATTTATTACACTGTTTTACAGCACGTCCTCTACATGGACCCAAATCAACTGGGATACGATGAGGCAGGTCACTGCCGCGGTGAGCCCCACCCCAACCTGCCAGGTCCTCAGAGGCTGCAGTGGGACATCGTTCCTGAGGTACGGCTCTTTGCACTTGTATTTACAAAGTCCTTGGACTCCCCCTGCTGGTAGCTCAACAAAGTGGTTCCGTTTTCTCACTTTTGAAAACGTTGAAACAAGCATGCCTATATTTATGTCAGAGCCATTAACTGATTGTTGCGATCTTGATAATAGTGAGGTATGAACTGAAGGACCAACTAACCGATGAGTCTGTCACTTTCTCTAGTGCCAAGAAACCATCCAGAGCTCCCTGACAGTGGCCAGGGCTCTGGCAGATAACGTGGACTGTCACATTATCCCCTTTACTGACTTTGGGAAGGGCCTGATTAAGAAGTGCCGCATCAGTCCTGATGCCTTCATCCAGATGGCTCTGCAGCTGGCTCATTTCAGGGTCAGTTCATTCTCAAACATTTCTTATCTGACTCTTCAGTAGAACTCAATTGTTGATGTTAGGGTCAGGTAATCATTTTGTGTCTCTTTATTATTTGTCTCTTCTCTCTCTCTCTCTCTCTCTCCCTTCCTCTCTGTCTCTCGCCATTACGCAGCATTTAAAACTGTTTATCACACTCCTACTGTACTTACATACATCATATTTAAATCTGTTTTAGTGTAGTACATTGATCATCTTTCCACCGATACATACAGATTGGCAAATATTTTGTCTGGTTTATGAAGGCCTGTGGTTTGATTCCCTTACAATAAATATAAAATATAACTTTGACTGAAACTATCCTTTGTCTTAGTATTACTGTAGTATTAGTATCTCGTAGTATGTCTTTAATATTAGTAAAATAACTTTCTGTTGTGTTTACTATATTATACTTTCAATATTGTTGGCCAACATAAGGACACCCACATGAAAGACAACCACACACCAGGCTCTGAATGTGAAACCTTGAGACTGTTTATTAGACAGCTCGCAATTGTTATGAATGATATCATATGTCGTCAATAACGGTGCAGAGGAGTGGCAACAATTTCTATGTGCACTGCACCTCAAAAATGACCTTGGACAACACAATGACAAAACATAACAGTTTAAACATATGTGAATAGGGACGCAAGTGTCATTCAGTATAACAAATATGTTACCACCCAGAAATGGAGTGGTTCCTTCTGTGCTGTGAGAATGACACAGTTGCCTCTTGTGACCTCTGTACAGTTTTGGATTACAGTTGAAAATAAATTACAGCCCAGGCGTAATGCATTTGAACCCCAGCAGGGGGCAGTCACAACTAAAATTAACAATACTTGCCCAATATGTGATTTATTGCTGCAAATTGCAGTTTATTTGATAACACTAAATATGTTTGACGTAATTGAGAATATTCTGAATTTAAAATATTATTTACAGACTATTCTTGGGAATAGATGCCAGCTCTTGTTTTTGTAGTCAGCAAATCGTGTGTGAGATTATCCAATAAAGGTTACTTACATGAACTTTGCAAAACAAACAAAAAAACACCCATAAATCTGAATCCTTCCACTTTCTCAACAGGACAAAGGGAAGTTCTGCCTGACATATGAAGCTTCTATGACCCGTCTGTTCCGCGAGGGCAGAACAGAAACTGTGCGCTCCTGTACCATAGAAACCTGTGCCTTTGTTTGCGCCATGGTTGGAGATGAGACAGTAAGGATTAACAGCAGCAGCAGCTGATTTCAGCTGTTCAGATTGACTAAATTGTAGGATAAATGTTAATCTGCTGTTTTAATTGATTACCAGTTTCATTTTTTCTTCTCTATTCTTTACCTCTCTCCAGAGAGAACAGCGTCTTAAGTTGTTAAAGCAGGCTGCTGAGAAGCACCAGAACATGTACCGCCTGGCTATGACAGGAAAGGGCATCGATCGCCACCTGTTCTGTCTCTATGTGGTTTCAAAATATTTGGGAGAGGACTCACCTTTCCTCAAAGAGGTATGAAGTGGTGCTGCATAGGGTTGGGGTTTGATAAGGGTTTTAGACTGCAGATATTTTATACTACTGTTTGTTTCAAACAAACAGTAGTATATGCGTAATATCAATATCATTATGTAATAATTAATAACGTAATAATAATTAATATATTAATATTAATAAATATGATTTATATTTAATATTAATATAAATAGTAATATTAAATACATATTTTATTTCAGCTACTGTATTATGGCTTATACTAAATGGGTTGCAGTAGTTACATGCTATACTGAATGTATAATTCACATTTGTTACTTGTTACTTCAGGTATTGTCTGAGCCGTGGAGGCTGTCCACCAGTCAAACTCCTGTGCAGCAGGTGGAGCTCTTCGACCTGGTCAAACACCCTGAATACGTTTCCTCAGGGGGAGGATTTGGTCCCGTGAGTAAAACATGTACTTTTGATAAACAGTAAAAAAGTGTTAGAGATAAAGTTGAGGGGGTTTGGGTTTTTTTTGTAATTAAAGCATAGATGATAATGTAATGTTTGGGGGAGTGGTCAGTGCCGTTGCCTTGGAGCAGTGGTTCTCAAACATCTTGTACATAGTAGTAATGTCAAGCCTGTTGTTTGGTGTGGATAAACAAACTGTCACCAAGGGACAACAGTTCTGTAGAACTTACAGTGTTGTAAATAGGGATGGCTTGATATGACCTATTCATGTACGACACAGATACTGCACCTTAAAGTACCTGCTAATACTGATATCAATCTGATACCTTCTTTTCTTCTCCCACAAACTACGGGCTGCTGTTCTAAATGAAGAAAATAAATTACAAAATACTGCAATTACCCCGTCGTTGTAGTTTATTTGAATACTTTACTATTTGTATATGCTGTAAATTAAAGAGATCTACAACTGGCAAAATAAAAATTTACACTTCTCTTTGACTTTCTCCCATGTAATGCAGGTGGCTGACGATGGTTATGGTGTCTCCTACATCATCGTCGGTGAAAACCTCATCAACTTCCACATCTCCAGCAAACGCTCCAGCCCAGAAACTGTAAGTTTACCTGTTGTTGTAGATGGGGTTGTTTTTCCTTAAATATGATTAATTCCAATTCAGCTATTTTTCTTATGGACCATGCTTTATTTTTCCTTGGATTTCTTAGGACTCACACCGTTTTGGCATCAACATCAAAAAGGCCATGCTGGATATGTTGGCTCTCTTTCAGCTTGAAAACAATGCCAATTGAATGTCCTTGTCACGGATGGACAAAAACGTAGGATGCCAGTTAAACAAAAAAACAACAACAAAAAAACATACTTTTCCTAAAAAATGTACAGAACAAATGTTGGATTTGTGTTATTTTCTGCTTAGAGATGTTACATGAGCAAAACAAATGAGGACGTCTTAGGGAATATTGCTGTCACTGTTCATGAAGCTTTTATGTGTACTGTATGTATAGGTAAGGTGAGACTGGTGGTACAGGTTGGGTACGGACGAGTATTTATTCAATGATTGCACACACCTTATGTCTACTGTGTGAAATGTTTGGAACAAGTCGAAAGAGTAGGAAGAGAAATATGGAAAGGACTGAAAACCTGTCTTATATCAATAGAAAAGACATTTTTATCCGATGAATTATTCAGTGGCATCACCCCATCTTTCGAATCACACTCTCTCTTGAGAGATGGTGCAATATTTTTGAATGGAGGGATTCAGAAAACCTGTGAATTCGTTTTTTGTAGTTTGTTCTTTTTTAAAATCCCCTCCTTGGTTCAAGCACTTGAGTCACAGCACTGTCCATGGCAAACCCATTACCTACAGATGACGTAGTTTGAACTCCATCACATAATTTGCAATTGTTGACCTAATTCTGAAGTTAAAACTATCATGTTTTTAACTAGAGACCAATGCAAACTTCCAATTTCCTTAGCTCAAGTGCAGTGTGTGTGTTTGTTTGATCTAGCTGCGATGATTTTAATATGTAGCAATGAAAAGCAGTACATGTATATGTGGGCATGTTTTCATTCTCAGGTTTTACTAACTTTTACTTGGCCTAGTGCTTTGCCTTGCTGGTTCCAGAAGGATAGGAATAGTGCTTACGCTAACATGCAGATTAGCATCAGCAGAAGTGGATAAGATGCAGCCAGATTACCATAATATAACATTACATCTGCTTTCAATGCCAAGCTGAAAGCAGTGCAGATTGTTTGTCCATGGATGAATGTTAAACACAATGTAGACAACACTTGACTCGGTTTTTGGTTTTTGCCAGTGTCATGTTTTTAAAACAGTGAGTGTCTCAATTTAACACTGTTTTTGGTTCAGTTGTTTCTAACCTGTTCTTACTGTGGTAGATTTTTTTTCAGATCATGATGATTTTACCAATCTTTTCAGCAAACATATTTGTTGTCATTTTGCAGGTGTTACAGCTGTTTTAAACTGTTAAGAGTGAGTAATTAATGTTTTTAGTTTGAAGTATCTCATGTTTATTTTGCTCATTGTTTCTAAAGAACAGAGAGATAAAAAGGACGGTGACACACAGAAATGAATCTGCAGAAATCATGTCGTATGTGTTGTCAGATTGTTATATTATTTATTATTTAGCTCCACATTTAAGCTTATTTAGAAACACAGCAAACTAGAACATCACCATTAACACAGCATTAGACAAACACTACGTGGAGGCTTGGCGAGTTAAGAATTGAGAGCAACCACTTTCTTCCTGTTTCTCTGACATGACGCTTTGGCTACAACTGACATTTCATTAATTAATTTCAATCTCGGCATATTTAATTTTATGCTGCATGTTTTTTGAGAATGAAGCTGTAAATGATTGCCTATATTTTAAGATGTGTATAAAGAGATGCAGCTGATACACCAAAACATGTTTTAACAATAAAGTGAATGTCAAGATGAGCTTGCTGTCATCTCTTTTTCAAAGAGATTTCATAACCTTCAAAAACTTTTAATTCAGTCTCATTCAAGGGTCACCAACCAGGGCAAAAACATGGCTGCTGCATCAAGTTCTAGGAGAGTAGTAGACAAGGGCACCGAAATGAATACATTTGTTGACTAATTTTAATTTTTAGAACATACTCCATGGACACCTGAGGTAGTCCATGGCGGCTACGTTGGTGACTTCAGTCTAATAGCGCAGTCGGTTGTTTTAGTGCTGTAACGGTGCGTGTATTTATCCCAAACCGTCCAGTAGACAAGTACCGAACACATTATTTTGTTTTCGGTGTGTCAAGCGGAACGATAAACAAGGACGGAACTTCCCCCGGAACGAAATAGTGACCGGACACACCTGCTGCTCGCTTTCTTCGTTCAATTACTGTACCTCCAGCAGTTGAATTTGAGTTATTAGTAAACACGGACGCGTACTACAAAGTGAATGGAAGCGAAGTCCAAACCGACAGGGAAACAACAGGTGAGCGTTCACCTAGGCGACGACGATGCGCCTTTTTTCTTGCACGCAAACGAGGTTCTAAGAACAAAAACTGACTGAAACTATGACGGAGGACTGTCGTCACGACTTGGCTTTGTATTTTTTCCTCTGGAATTCTTTTTACATGTATTAAGGCATTTTGTTTTGCACTGGGAGACGACAGGAAAGGCGCTACGCAAATAGAATTCAGCTGGTTCGCCTGTTCTGACTTGTACATAAGAAGCTTTATGTAAATATGTATAAGATGTATGTTCGCAGTAATTATAGAGTATTTCAAGCCATTTCCTGTGGTAATGTAGTGAGGCCATCAAGTGCAGCCCCTAATATATCTATTTATTTATGTATATGTATATATTATATAATAATGGTGGTTACGTGTCATATTAAGGCACTGATGCAACAAAATGATAAAAAAAAGTGTACAAAAAGAAAACATATATAAATAGAAATGTATGAGTTCTGGCTTATATGTCAACCACCCCAATTCATTACATTTTTTGTGACTCTCTACATTTCTTCCATACAGTTACCCTCCAATGTCATAGACTGTATTATCTGACATAAGTCGCTCCAGCCAAAAAAAAAGCCTTGACTAAAATTAAACGGAGGACGTTTAAAGTCACTATGAGGTGACAGATTTCCAAGAACACATAATGCAGGCAGGAAGTGAATACTTGTGACAATTAACCACTTGCTCCCAGCACACCTCCCCTGCCTCCCTGTCACCCACACACCTCCATAATGGTTCACCCAATGTGGTGTCACCCTGCCCCGGGCTTCCAATAGCAGTCCTACATTTCCAGACTGAATTCCTGAGGACTGCTTACAGCCTGACTCTAGAACCTGCAGTTTAGCTGCTTCAGAAAACGGATCTCCTTCAACAGCAGCATTTTAAAAATTTAATTTAAATTTAATTTTAAAAAAAGTCTATTATAGTTGTGTTGTTATGAAAAGCTTTGGTGTCCGATGTAGGTCTTTTATTAAGTGAGTAAAATAATGGTATACTGTACCCCATATCCAAACCAAAGGAGAGGCCAAGGCCTTCTCAGACAAAGAGTAAGACTAAGAATTTTACGCCAAATTGACAAGCTGGAAAATTCAAACAGCAGAATCTGAAACCTAAAACTTTGACTTGCACTTTCTAAAAGTAGACTTTAGTGAAGATGTGTGTGCTTTACTTGTAAACAGTTAAATTCATGTGTCATCTGCTTGAACAGAGCCTTAAAACAGAGGGGAGTTACAGTTCTGTGTTCCATTTTGTCTAGCTGTGATCATCACTGATGGATTAGTGATGTTTGGGTTCATAACAAGTGTTAGATCAGATCAGTTTAATTCTTAGTTTCACACAGTTCATGTCGACTAATATGGATAATTTATACATCAAGTTTCCTATAATCAACTATGTGACATTGAATATGGCAAATGTATACATGTCTGTATATACATATATTTGTGTGTGTGTGTGTATATGTATATATGTATGTATATATACACACGTGTAAATATATGTGTGTATATATTTATATAAATGTATATATGTACACATGCACGTATGTATGTATAGAGTATATACATACAGTATATGAATGTGTGTGTGTATACATACAAAGTTCAGTGTAAAGTTGAACAGCAAATTTAATTGCTTTAGTGGACACACAGATTAGAGGAAATGATTTTTCTGCCGTACGAAAACACCCACCTAACCTTGTTATCCTCTCCAGCCTCAAGCTCTAAAATTTCATCACCTCACAAAACATGGAGCCACGTAAGTACGTCTTGTGAATGTTAGCTGACACACAACTGTGCCCAGATTTAAGAAAATAATCTAAGTGATTAGAGCCGGGGTGTAAATGGAGAAGGTGATCACGGTGGTTGGTGTGGAGGGTGTTGCGTGCGTGTCTGGCCATCTGCACCTGTCTAGCTGTGCTACAGGAGCAGGGCCTATGTGGGGCCTCAAGGTGGAGCTCAGCCAAGGGGCAGCGGGTGAGGAAGGTAAGGATGAGAAGCTGAGCAGAGGTTGGGCTGAATGTGATTCCCCTGAGAATCTCTCCAGCCACATGCTCACCAAAGCTATTAATAACTTTTATTAGCTTTGAAGAGAATTAGTTTGAGAGTACGGTCACAACTATACTATAAAGATTCAGGATTTCTGCTCTTGTGATCCAGAGGAGGGCGGTGTTAATGATTAGATTAGACATTTAATCAGTCTCTACTCTGGCACATTTCTTGTCAGGGTCGTTCTAGGTGCTGGTGCCGAATCCATAAAACCTTTGATCATTCATTAATTTATCCTAGCAGTCGTCTGGTTGGACAGTCTGTTCCAAAGTCACATAGAAACAAACCACCATTCACATTCACAAAGTCAATTCAGTATCCAGTTAGCCTTATGCTGCATAGTTTTGGGCTGTGGGAGGTTACTGGAGGAAATCCAAACAGAACACTGGAGGGGAACGTGTAAACGTTATATGGAAAGACCAAGAATCAAACCTGCTGACCAGTGACCTTATAAGGCCATTTCTTCCAAATGTTTGGCACCAACCCTTGGTTGGAGGCTGTAATAAACATATAATACTTACTGGTAGATTAGAAAGATATTAAGGCTGAAGTCGACCCAGGTAGCTGAGAAGTTACAAAGCTCACGTGATGATGAGCACATCTTTAACGGCCGCTTTGAAATCTCTTATCTGTATCCTCACACAAATGTGGTTTAGACAGGTTTAGATTTGACCAAACTTGACTTCAAAGATCTGTACTTACTGTCTGTTAAGATGATAAATATTTGAGGTTTGGTATTGCTCTATGTTAGCATGTTAAAAGGCTGTAGCATGTCCTTCGTGGTGGCTGCCAACAACCAGAGTGATATAATAAACAGTCTTATTTTTCAAACCATCTGGATTTCACTGAAAAGCAAGCCATTCCATAGAGATCAAAGCCAAAGGCTCCCAGTGTTTCTAAATGCACACTGTATTAAAGCCAGGAAGTGAAGTACAAAAATGTAAACTTTATTGCAACTTTGTCTAAGTTCTCTGATTTACAGAAGAGAAAACACGCTCGTTAATGGCACAGTCATTGTAATATGTACAGTGCTGACTTGGCAATAATCCAGGCAACTGTGTAGTCCAGATTTCAGAGTGGCATATTAAGGCATGTGGCGTCACCATCGTTCAACCTGTAGAAGGAAGGAATACCATGCCTAAGCTGTTCCTGCAACATGACCATTCTACAGCATTCTATAAAGCATTAGTTCGGGACCAAAAATATGATATATATATGTAAAAAAAAAGAAATCTCACATGAAAAGAGTCCAGTGGGGAAATCACAGTTTATCTGTTTTTACATTCATCTTGAGGAGAGATTAAGACATTGATGTGTTCACAACATACTGTGTGTTGTACTAAGACATTTGGTGATATTTGATCAGCTTCAGTAGACCTGAGTGTTGAAGTTAATACAGTAAACTTGCTAGATCGACAATACACAATTTAGTGGTAAAAAATTCACTACGCGAACGGTTTACAGTCTGGATTATAACTGCTGGCCATTCAGGATTATTTTGTCAAGAACTAATCAATGCTGAGATTAAACTGCTACGAAGCACTGTTGACTATTTCACCGTACATGTCATATTTGCTCTTTACTTACTTAATTCCAATTTATCGTAAAGAAAATCCAATCAGTTGTGATTAGGACCGAAGTAAATGTCCAAGTCCAAGTGGTCGTTCACACAAGGGCGGGAATCTAATCCCTGAGTTAAACTTCATATCTAGTGTGTGTGTGAGAGAGAGAGAGAGAGAGAGTGTTGCACCATTGTGACTTTAAACACCAGGTAACACAGGTCCAGACTATAACTTCAGGTTCAGTTTAAACCATCTTGATCAAAACTAAAAGGGCAGATTTGAATTGGTTTTTTGGGGAATAACTAGGTTTTGAGGAAAACTGGAGTAGATTAAATTACGTAAGTGGGTTTAGGGCAGAAAAGTAAACAAAGAGCAAGGTCAAATATCCACACTCATTGGTAAATATTTGTACATTATTGGATTTACCTATGTATCCAATAAAAGACAGGTCCCCAAACACCGGGCCATGGGCTGGTACAAGGCCGAGGTTCTTTGGTACGGGGCCATAGAGAATATTATAATGTTAACATTATTTTCACTTATTTTTGATTGTAATTGGCAGAGGTTTCATTTTTAAAAATGACCAACTTCTTCCTTAATTACTATTCACCCCTCTTAGAGCACACTGAGAGGCAAATATGTCAACAGAAAAAGGCCTTTGGAGTTTCACAACAGTTGGTTCTCACGTCAATTCCACTCTGCGTATAACAGTTGAATTCAGCTGTGTACTCAGACTTCCCAGCTATAATGGCTGAATATGTGTGTTAGAGTAAGAGTGTGTGGATTGACCCACATTCCAGTTAGGTTGAAAAAAAATGTAAATCAAAAATCAATCATAAAACTCAAAAATTATTTTCTGAATATATCCTCTACACATTTGTGTTGTTGTCAACAGAGCGATCATTAGCAACAGAGCATATCAACATAACTTTAAAAACAAACACAAATATGAGCAGCACATTTAAAGGCACTTTCTACAGCAGGTTAGTAAGAAGATTCAATCTAAGTCAAATTCGTACGTAGTCAGAGATACAATGACAGCAGCTTGGCCTCAGGTTGGTGTGGCCTACAGTACTAAAGGACATTCAGATGTGTCCGACCGAGTGGTATGTCATTTCTTTGAGTAAACTATTCTAGTGATAAGTGCTAAAGTGTAGTGAGTCGCCGTGCCTGGAGATTCTGCGAAGCAGTGAAATCTTGAGGTACATTCATAAATCATCAGCCCATTCGGCCAGTTAAGTTCAAGTAAAGGCCTTTCCATTGACTGAGCAAGACATACGGTACAGTACCAGGGTCCACTGTTATTGGCACAAAGGTCCTTGTGAGCTAAAGTTATTCCAGTAAGCGTTCCCAGATTGAAAGAGCCCCTTCAAACAGCTTTCTTTAATCTTTCATATCTTCATTTGGTCTTCATGAGAGATTCAGATTCTTTGAAAGCAAACACGGCATTTGCTTTGTTCCTCCTTGTCATGAGAGCCAGCAGCGACTACAAATTAAAGACTGTAGAGATGCGGTATGTAAACACAACATTTGTCTGAAGCAACATGGACGCACACTGAAAAGAAAACAAAATAAAATACTGCAGAAAACGTTCCAGAAACAAATCATCCGAGAGGTAAAACCCATTAATATTATTTTAAAAAAGGAAGAAAAAAAATTCACAACAGACAGAAAAGACATTTTGATTTGTAAAGTGCAAGTATAAAAAAATCTTTCTACACAAGTTCAATGGTCTCTAGTGGAAAAGTGCAAGTTAAAAACAGCACGAGTATTTAAAAAAAAAATTGATTTGAAAGAGTTACAGGATAGGTCACGTGATTCCGTGGGTCAGACCTACGACTCAGCTTTGCCCAAAGAAAACAGCCACCTCCTCCAGGGGCACAGGGTAGTCCTGTAGGAACGTCCCCCCGTCAAACACCTGAGCGTTCTTGCTGTCCTGCCACTGGAAGCCCCCGTCAGGTAAATATATATCCCTCTTGACCGCTCCCTTCTCCACCACTGGTGCCACTAGGACCTGGACAGACGAACACACACATCAGCCTGGTGAAGCTAGTCAAGATGGGAGCAGAATTCAACACAAAATAAGCAAACTGATTTTTTTTTAATACCGACTATATCGGACGCTTGCATCTCAACATCACAACACATCAGAAGTCACCTTGTCTCCAATGAGAAACTGGTCGTCAATGGTAAAGGTCATGGGGTCACTGGGATTGAGCCACCACATTGGCCTGTAGATGGGGTTTCCAGTCGTCTGCCACTCTTCTGCATACTTTTCAATGAGAGGAACCACGTCCATCTGGTGCTTGGTGATGTAGGTCCGAGTCAGGTTCAGGATCTGAACAGATGAACAGATAAACAGACTTTACTATAAATAACAATAAGTCCATGTTTTTTCCTTTCTTTTTCAGGCAAACAAGCTCAAGTATATTCGTTATTTATTATTATTATTTGCTCATAGTGGCGCTTTGGCCCAGAGGCAATGTCTCTATCGTTGGTGTGGAACCCCAGGGTTCACCTCCTGGGCAAGATCAAATCCCTGTTAGGGCGGTTGGTACCTTCCAGTAGACTCACCACCTGCAGGAAGGTTCAGGGGGGTTGGTATGGTGCAATGTGATTTGGGGGGCGGTAATAGAGACTGCTGCCCCCACGACCTGGTAATGGATAAGAGGATGACAATAGATGGATGGATGGATGGATTAATGAAATATAAGTGTTTTTTTTATTTTTTTTTTCAAAATTCATCAAGTGGGACGGATTAAACACCCACATGGGCCCCCGGGTCATATGTTTGACACCCTTGATCTAAAGGATATAATGTTTAGAATTACAGTGGTCCCTATCTATATCGCATTTCTCCTTGCGCTCCCTCAGCACATCGCAGATTTTTCTTTTAATCCGATCTCGCGAAATGTAGCAAAAATTAATTAAAAGACTTATAAAATAATTATACATGTGAAAGTTTTGGCTTTTAAAACAGGGATTGTGATGTGAGTAGTAAATCTGTGTTTGGTTAAGTAAGATGAAAATAATATTTGTAACGTTGTGTACTGGCACTCATGGGTAGTACAGCCAGACATGTCTTCCGTACAGCAAATGCTGAATTGACAGAGAATTGGTTATATGTATATATATACAATTAAATCAATCAAAAAAATTATAAAACACATCAGCCATGTTAAAGTAGAATTAATGTGTTTGAACTTGTGGATATAGCAGTAGGGATAGGACCAGCAGTGGAGCTGTACTGTGATGCCTTCAGAATGCAATATATTCCAAAAAATATCTAAAGCCTGTGTCAAAAGGGTGTGACCATAACTGGATAATAATCCACCACATGGCCTGGAACTACTGTGAGAATGAGGTCAGCCCAGGACATGAAGGTAACTTTAACACAGTTCAGTGTGAGTTGGAGCGGCTCAGTGCTGTCTCACGGTCGCTCCATGTCCTATCTGTGGCCAATGCTCTGAAATTCTTCAAATGTTCACATCCTCTCCAGTGTCCCGTAACAGAAACGACCACATCTATAAAAAAATGTATTTTTATGAGTTGGGATAGGGAAAAGTCGTTGGAATGAGCTTGAAGTTCGACTGAGTTTGAATGGATCTTTCTGTAATTGAGAATCCAGGCGTGTGTGGCTTTGAGGTTTTTACTGCTATTTCATTTCACTCCAGTGTTACAAGCTCTGGAAATAAGAGTGTGACAAACTGAATCTATATCAAACCATAGCCCCGTTGACATTTATCTGTACGGCTGCAGTCCCTTGTCTTCACTAATATCTCATTGCATCACAGATAAAGCAGTTGAAGGTCACACAGGAGACCCAGGTGGAAAACAACACTCCCAACACAAGTCACTCCCAATACGTTTCACTGCCTCAGTTTCCTCCCTGTGGAAAGAAAAGCAGTTGATCACTTCCACTCTGTCACACTTGTCAGTTACTCATGGAAACCTTAGCTGCCACAATAAAGTATTTTTCCAAGACTTGTCCTTAAATTCATTGTCATTCCAGCCCCAGTGGCTCTGGAGCGTGGGTCATAAATCTAGAGGAGGGGTTGTAATTTAGAACAGATGGACTCTTAACCACAGGTGATGTTGGGAGAGAAGGGTGACGGGGTGGAGAGTGGGGAAGGGGGTGGGGGAGGCAATTGCACCTATTGAGAAAAGAGAAGGTGCAGCAGAGGGGAAAATAGGCTTCCTGTGCTGGAAAAACATCAGTTTCTCTGTTGGGCAGGAACCAGGGCTTTGGTACCATGTGGTTAAAGTGACTGACACCTGGCACCTGACTCTCTGAGACACTGGCCATTGTTTTCTTCCCACTGTTGTTATCAGTGAGGAAAGGTGGGGGAAAGGTCTTGGACAGAAACAGTCGGGTTCTCGTCAGACTAGACTGGTGGGAACTGAGGTGAGGCTGATGGATCAATAATCCTCTGTTCTGTCTGTTTTTTTCCCCAAAGTAATCTCAACTGCTGTGGGAGAGTGAAAATGAATCTCTCACTCGCTCTTTGAACATCTCATTAGAGGGGATTAAACACTTGATGACCTGACTGTAAATCCTTCAAAGTTTTTAAAATGTACAGTTTAGCAAGAAAATACAAATATATTACACATCAGTTTCAGAACTAACTTCCATTTCCATAATTGTCCTTTATTTCATTAAAACCAGGGCTGGACCAGGTCTGGAGGACTTGTTGTTTCCATGTGACTGGAGCCAGTTTCCAGCTGACCAGCATGAAGCAGTGGATCTACTGTAAGCATTGTTACATTTTAGAATATGTTCTCAGCAGAAACCTTTAGCTCAGAAATAGACTACACCATGGACAAGCAGTTTTCCCTGGTTGATGTTTTAACACATTGTTCCCAATATGTAGTTCTTTTTTTCAAGTCTGAATGCAGTTTTTGCTCCTTAAGAAGTAAAGATCTCAACCTTTTCTTAATGTTGTACGTAGGTGAAGATTATAAGTGGTTATCGAAGGCGACTTTGGTCTGGAAGGTTTAATGCTGCTCCCTGCTCACTTTGGTGATGGGTTAAAAGCAGAGGTCACATCCATCCATCCATCCATCCATCCAAGCTTATCCCTAATGTGACCTATGGTAGCTGCTGAGTTTGGGCCCCTTATAATGAAACCAACCATGCTTTCCTTCATACATAAAGTCAATTTACAATGACTGATGACAGACATTTAAATGTTTAAAGAACACTACAGGACACAGTGTAAACTATTCTCCTGAATTCTCACTTAATGAACCCCAAAATATTACTGTGATGAATTGTGTATGAAATTAAAATCCTCCTGATGACCAGAACAAAGACTTCAAATCAGATTTGTGAATCATCTGTTGGCCTCTTTCTACAGCCTCCAGTCTTTGACCCCCGCACATAAAGTGAAGGCAAAAATGTTGGCACTATTCAATTTACAACTATGATGTTTCCACTGTTGTAAACATAATGAACGTGTCAGTCATTCAGTTTGAAGCTCCATACCTGATCTTCTCCAAAGGCCCAGGGTGCAGTGTGGAAGCTGATGACAGGGAGAAAGGCTGCGATTTCCAACCAACGGATGAACAACTCCTCATCTGTGACGAGGTCTACAGACAGAGAGCCACCTGTGGGGGGAGACAGGAGATGGACAGAAATCATTAGGTGAGTCTTTGCGACCCACACAGGCGGCCACAGGAGGCGTCATTTAGTATGTGGTTCCTTTGGGACTCAAACCCAGGACATTATGTGTGTAAGATAGATGTGCAAAGCAGGCATAGTACACTACGGAACCACCAAAGTTAGTGCTCACAAATGCAAAAACAAGTGTGTGATCTGTTCAGTGGGCATGTGCAGGCCGTGTGGACTTTGTCTACATTCTGGTTTGCTTATATAATGTCCTTGAATGTATATATGGGAACTCATGAATTCAGTGACCCTAGAGATGGTGTGGGGACTTGAACTGTGCGAAGTGCGAGAAGGACCCATAGACTGTGGTATTACCTACTGCATCAGGAATGAGGAAGTTGTATCCCAGCAGAGTGTTGTGCAGCAGAGAGGGAATGATGCCCTTCAGGCCCATCAGGCTCCAGTTTGACTGCAACCGGGTCATTCTCACAAACACCGGCTTGTGACTTGACCTTAGAGAAGTGGAATAACAGTAGAGGTCATCGTGACAGCAGGTGAAGAGTAGATGTCATAGGCTTTCAGCTGACAATGCCTGAAATCATTACCTAGTTCCTGCGGTCATTATGGTTGAGTCTCCTATCCTGGTTGCCATGTCAGCAAGCAGGCTGATGTACTTGTCTCCACTCAGGTCCTGCGGCGCCCGCAGGGCCTGCTCCTCAAACAGATTTCCCTCACCCCCCTCCAGCATGATGTACTCCATTCCTAGATGGGCATGTAGGGATCCCACCCTGTCCAGGAACCAGCTCACTGCTCCTGGGTTGGTGATGTTCAGCTTGACACAGAACTTTCCCCGCCATTGACTCAACACAGGGACCTAATGGAAAAAAGAAGAAATTAACTTTTGATATCCATAATGCCCTGATCTTTGTCCTTTATCTTTGTTTTTTCAAATTTGTATGGTTGTTTATATGGTGAACAGACTGTTTGTCCATGAGGTTTCCATATGTTTTTTCTTTTAAGTGTAAAATATGTATTCTACACATAGGCTAGCACATCAACAACAATAGGGCCTTATGTAATATTTAAACTGTTTTGAGGTGTGGACACAGCAGAGTTATTTACAGGATGAGTACTGCGTTCTAGTCAAGTCTCACCAGCTGTCCCAGAGGAGCCAGGGGGAGACTGAGCCAATAGGCCTCAGTGCCGTCCTTGAGAGAGGTGTGGAACTGTGTGGTGTCCACACCCAGGAAAGGGGACAGAGTGATGGAAATGTTTAGAAGCTTGACAAGTGGGAGGTCCCTGGTCAGTCTCTTGGACATCCCTCTTTTCCTGGAGTTGAGGTAGTCATGGTCCTGCAGAGAGGGAGGTATGGAGAAACATTAACCGGGTTTTGATCCACTGCTGTTGGAGGATATTAGGAGTTAGACGACCGACATGAGCAGCAGGGGGCAGAAAACCTAAAGTTTGGTGAACAGTAATTTACTGAACTACACAGTGTTTTGTTTAACAAGGGAATGTGGATTATTATAGGAATCACTCTTTAGGAGCAGACCCCAGACCAACTGGCTGAAATGCAGCTCCAAACCATTACAGAGCCTCCACCCTAACATCATAATTCTAATATATATATATAATTATTTAATTAATTTGTATTGTTGCAATCCCGCCCAGCAACAGCTTCATGCCTCTTAGGTAAGGTAATGTGGTGGTGGTGGGGGTGGCCCCCCCCCCCCCCCCCATTTTGGTAACCACTGGAAGTAATGGATCCTATAATTCCCATGAACTTTGCTGTTACAGTCAAGCAGAGATTTCAGATTATGTAATGGGACAAAACCTCTTATGAACACAACAGTCGGCCCCTTGAGGTGACGCTGTGGTAAGAAGAAAGGATGGATTAGTACAAAAGTATTATATAAGTGTCCAAGAGTATTTTTTTTAATACCTAGTTTTAATCGTATTTAAGAAAAGATTAGAAACTGACATCTCCAGCTACGAAACAGTAATCTTGTCTGGTGTCTGGGTAACAAGCTTGGACCCATGGTGATATAGTGTTATTGAAGCACGTTTTCCACAGTCACCGTGTTGATCCAAACTAACATTGAAAGTAGAAAAGATAAATCATGATGTGACTGATATAGAATGGATAACAACTAAAATAAGAAAAGAAGATGAATTTCTGATGGTGTTGCCAATCAGACGTCTGTATGTGCAGAATTACTGCTGAGGCACCTCAGCCACTGCATAGTTGTTTGGCAAATGGCTTGTTGCATGGATCAGCACTGAGCTGTTTTCAGAATCACCTGCTCGTGTTAGTCTTGGATTGGATCAATTTGATTCTCATTAGTCCTGTCACATTCCCTGTTAAATCCCTGTGACTAACCCCTGGTGTTTACCCACACCTGCCCATCTGGGGTTCCCACTTCTGAGGTTACTTCCTTCTTCAATTGTTTTCTACCTTAGAAAACCCCTGGATCGCGTAATCTTTCAAATAATTTGTCATTGTGCTTGCTCTTAGTTTCACTCTTTAACCTGGACCTGAACTTTGCTGAGGAAAGCATTATTCCTCTGCCTTTGTCTGAACTGACTTTTGTTTCCACCTGTTTCACTTGAGCTCAGTTTTTACCAATCTGACTGTTACCTCACTGAGGACAAGACTTTTTTCTAATGGAGTAGCTCCTTGTATTGACTTGAATGTACCTGAATGTATTTCTAGAGATCTTGTTTCCAGGCTGTTTTCAATAATATTTGAGAAGAAATTCAACTCTATTACCACCTCTGTTCCCAGCCAGTCATCAGCACCGTGAAGAGACACTTGAGACAAGACTTCCTGCAGATTAGTAGATAGTAGAATGAAACCCTTTTTAACAATATGACGGATAGAGTGGATATGGGAACTTTACAACACAAAATGTACCAGTCACACCATGCAGGAGTCCTTGTGAGAAGGTCAGATTAGCCAAATAAATATTATACAGATTTTATCATTTGTACAGAGAATTTGTAGGTGGATTCAGTCAAATTTAAAAAACTGTAAGAATACACAGTGTATATACAGTGTGTATTTAATCAATCAGTGAAACAGAAGCAGGGGGCTGTGGCCAGGATGTGGATGAGAGTTTAGTGTTGTGCAGAACCACCACAGGCTAACGGAGGCTGAACTATCAGCTGTCAGTCAACTTTAAAATTAGATTATAATTTCAGTAATGAATTAACACTGACGTTAAGGTATGTATTTACATATATGTATAGGCCTATATGTATTTATCTTAGGGCTTAAATCTTTATTCTGTGTGAATTTTCAGTAATTAATCATGATTAATAATCGCGTTTGAAGTTAATCATCACACTTCCTTTCAGCTCACAGACACAAGCCTAAATTCCTCACTAGAATCAACATACGACTTTAGCAAATAGTGGTCAACCACAACCCAACCTTGGTTGCCGAGAAACAGGCTGTGATGGAAACTTGTTTCATACCAAGTCTTGATTCTCAATATCTGTAGTGAGTGGTCGGCATTTTTAACAAATACTGGTATGAGCCTCTGTGAAAACACTCAAATGTGTCTGTTAGATAAAGGTCCAAGAAAGTGAACAAATGACAGATTTGAATTTCTACTTCTGTTCTTTCACAACTGCATTTTAGATTTGACTTATTTCTCAAACACTGCGTGAGCTAACGTTTGTACCATGTCAGAGAGGAGGGTGGTGGAATGTTCATTAAGGCTGATGACTCCCTCCCCCAGCTGGTGTCTCTTCAGACGATTGGAGAAAATCCGCAGCTCCCGCTCTACCTTGGGACCTGAGTCCACGTTAGTGAGCAGCTTCCAAAACGGCAGCCTGTAAAGCAGAGAGGTGATGAGTTGTAACATACGACACCCAAATAACCAGTGGCCACCATATCAAAGTCAGTGCACAAGGGCAAAAACACTGCATATGTAAAAATCCTCTTTAGAGAAACAAAAAATATCTAAGCAGTCATGAAAAGAGGAGTCTGGAAAAATAGATTTAGATTCATTTGACTAATTTGTTTTTGCTTTTCAATTTAATTTTTTTAACCAATTAAGAAGTGATTAGCCTGAAAGAAGACAATTCCATAGTAAATTGTTGCTCCGTCGTCTCAGCTATATTTTCTATTTGTAACTTCATTTGAATAAATAATAATCATGGACTAGTTACATACATACAGTCTTCCATTTACAACCCATCCTTCAAGGGGAACTGTATTGCTGATGTGGCCCCCGGTGAAAATGAGTTTGACCTGACCTACAGGCTTTAGAAGAGGACTGTGTAAGCTATTAAATTCAACATATAATAAATACATTTCTAATGGACTACTTCCTCTGGACACTCGACTCCTCAGTTTTATCTGAACTAACCATAGTGCTTTCAAGTTGGGCAGCTCTCTGTGGGGCTGGGAGAGTTGCTTCACAGCTTCCTGATGAGCAGCTTTAACATCGTGGGCCACACATACAGTGTACTGCAGAGGGAGACGCTGCATACTGGGCAGCGACTGCAGACAGAACTGCTGCCTGCTGTCCACTCCGAGCTGCATGGGAATATTAGGTGATACCAGAACTGCAACACCTGAGCAGTGGAGGAGAAAATAAAAAGAGAGAAAGTTGCCTGCAGTCAGAACATGGTTGGCCTTGATGTGAAGCAGTAGAAACTAGTGAGAGTGTGAAACGGTCCTATGCAGATTCCTCTTAAATGACATAGTGAGTGAGTGTTACTGAGACCGGTGTAACTGTGACGGATGGAGTGTTGTGGGAGGTAGAGTGTGGGCTGTGTCAGCTGATATTGCTGCACTCAGATGTGAGGAAAAACACTCCTTAGAATGAGATACAGCAATGTGCCACCGGATGGGTTTACTCTGGGACTCCTGGTCACTTCTAAGGAGGTGGATTACACTGCACGCCAGTGGAGCAGAGCTTAAAAAGCTGGGACAAACAGGGAGAGTTGTGGATTTGAATCCAATCACTTCCTCGGTCAGACTCGGGCCTGTAGGAAAATCCTGAACACCTGTTGTGAAATCATATGAAAATCTGAAAATACAGAAGGAAATCCAAGCAGAAGGTGCTGAAGCTCCCTCGTTTCCACTCATTTCCCATGCAAACATGTGATACGCCACGTGAAATGATAAGATTATGGGAAGCAGATAATTGTGTCCGCAGATGTAGCTGCCCTGTTAGGAATGTCTGTTCCCTCTCAGGTTACCCCAACCCCCTAGCCTCACCATTTCTCACCCCTCCTGACTCCCATCTTCTCTCAGACTTTAACTATTTTCCTGCCCACTACTCTCCTTTCTGCTCTGGGCCAATCTCATCTCAGGTCAGCAGATCCCGACCAACAGTCCTGTAAATTGTCAATTTTTTTTAACAAATTGTTGCAAGGGAGGTATACAATTTACGAACGGGTCAGATTTGAGCAGACTGGGTTCAAAATCAGGTTTCCAAAACAAATTGACAAGCAGAGGACTTGACTCACATTCATCGCCATCTCTGGTTTCAATGGGCTTACTGTTCTGTTCAGGCTGGCACCGGCACAGGAACAGGAACAGGAACAGGCAGCATAATAATCTGATTAAATGTTTCAGAGATCAGTGTTAGAGTTGTCCCCCAAACTCAGTGAAGATTATGGGATGATTATATCAGGTTATTTCTTGGAACAGGTAGCGTCAAATAGACCCACGTTACACCTCACCTCTTCATCAATAATGAACAGGTGATAAGGTAATAAATCAGCATCTGTTCAACCTGACACTGGATCATAACAATTGTCCTGAAGTGTTGATAAATTGAGTTCTAATGGGTACAGGTGTCCGTGCTGTGCTCTAAGGAGTGAAAGAAAGTGGAGCAGTGGATAAAATGT